CTGGGGTTGTTCCTCCCCAGGTGCAAGACCCAGGTTCCTCTCTCGTTGGGTGACACACACAGTTCGAGGGTAGGGAGCCCTGGACAGGGCTGGGAGGAGCCGGGTTTGGAGCAGACGAAGCGAGGTGATGGCTGGGCTCTTGCTGATGGTGGTAGATGCTCCGAGCTCAGCTGGGTTTGAGGGTACAGAGGGCAACGTCACGTGAGGAAAACCTGCGGAGGGCTTCAGGCTACGTAGGATGGACGCCGGGCTGGGGAGATTGAACGGGGCTCATGGTGGGAGTGGGCACGAGCGCTCACTGCGGGTTATCCGGGCTCCGGTGGGAGCTGGCAGGAGAGCTGCGAGATGCTCCGGGGCTGGTGACAGAGGTTTTCCGGGAGCTGTGGGTGAGCTGATTCCCAGTAGAGGAGAGGAACTGGTGCGGCCGCAGCCGGGGACGTGAGCCAACAAAGCTCGGCCCTTGCGAAAGAGGCGAACGTTGGCCGGGCGGGGTGGGAAGAGCGCGTGAGCACCGGTGGGGGAGGCCCTGGCCACGCATTGCCTGGCCTGGGCATGCTGCTAACAGAGCGAGGCAGGCTAACTGGAGCGTACTGGGAAGGACTGGGAGCCTGGGACCTCCCAGGGACAGCGCATTCGTTGTTTGTATTGAGAAAGAGGGAGCTGAGGAGGAACCTCGACCTCTGTGATCTTGAGGGATGATAAAGAGGAGGAAGCAACCGTCCCCTCGTGCAACTGGGGGACACACCACACCACAGTGGTGGTTTAAAATGATGATGGTGTTGGGAAGACCAGTAAGCGACTGGTGAAGGATGGAGCACAGGCTGGGGAGGGGGATGTGTCGCCTCAGTCCTTGCCAACTGTTTTTTGGGGGTGCCGACCTCCCCTCTCCCCGCCTCAGAACTACTTCCAGAAGCTGGAGAAGCTGTCGGCAGCGGAGGAAGTCCACGGCGACGGTCCCAAGAAGGAACGCACTAAACTCATCACACCTCAGGTGGCGAAGCTGGAGCACACCTACAAGCCAGGTAAGCGCTCCCTTCGCCGCGCAGCCCGGACCCGGGCCGGAGGGAAAGCGGGGTGAGGCGGGATCGGGCCCGGAATGAGTCCTTGTGCTTCCCTTCTCCCCCCACCCCCGCCTTCCTGCAGTGCAGTTTGAGGGCTCGCTCGGAAAGCTGACGGTCTCCAGCGTGAACAACCCCCGGAAGATGATCGACGCCGCGGTGACCTCCCGCGGCGC